GGTGCAACAGTAACTATGTGACAAATGGAGGTACTCACATGAAAAAAAACAGCCCCTTTGATAATAAGGAAGGGCTAGTGACTGGATAGCATCAGTCAGGGGCTTGCCTGGAATTTGCTCCCGTTCTTGATTAGCCAGATCCTTCTGAAGATGCTGGAAAACTCAGGAAGCAGGGAAGTCCTGGTTGTTTGGAACTGGGGGATAGGGACTAGAGGATAGTCAAATATGGAATTCTTATTCTGAACCAGTTTTCCTTGGATGGCCCAATGTACACTAGAGGTTTGTTGTGGTGTTTACAGCTCTAGTAACCATAAAAATGCATGACACAAGGGATAAATGATTCAAATTACATCCTATCAAAGAAATATAGTGAATATGCACACACCATTAATTTGTATGCTGCAGAATGGTGTGGGCTACAGATCATTCCAACCTTATGCCTGAAAGCTCATGTTTTTCTTTACTTTATCCGAGGAGGTTTTTTTGAGGTTTAATTATACCATAATAAAATACTGTGATTTGTGGAAATAAGGAATGGTGTAGGAGACTGATGATAAATAGTAACAAAAGAACCAAGGTGAAGCTTGATGGAAGAAAAGAAAAGAATCAATCATCGCTATTGATGATGTTTATATGCGGGGTGTATTTAGCTGAAATGCCAATGGGAGGCTAGTTCTGCAGTTAACAGACACTGGAGAAGAGTAACTTTCCTTAATTATTTGTGCAACCATTATTACAACCCTAAGAAACAAAGCAGGTAGCAACAGCTGCCTATGCTGTCTATTATAGCAACACCTACCTACCCCGTTTTCAGTTTTGCTAAGCTTCAGCCCCTTAGAGTGCATTTGTTCCATATTCGCTTTGGCCTGAGACTGGATCATTTGTGCATTTGTTCCATATTTGCTTTGGCCTGAGACTGGATCATTGGGCAGCTTTAGTGAAAAGGGTTCACATATTTCTGAAAATCAAATCAGGGATTATCCTGATATGTTAATTGCCTCTACCCCCAACGATATCATTGAAGAACTTTAGCAGCTCCATGCAGTAGCATGACTAGGGCAAGGTGACCATGGCAGCAGATTATACCTGTGACATGGTGGCAACCAGATGTTCCTGCTGCCCCTTTGTGTTGCAGCTGCCCCAGGTGTTGGACTGTGTTGTTACACTTCTGGCTCCATGTTTTGCAGTATGACTGGCTTTTGGCAAGGGTCCTAGGTGTTAGGAGTCAGGAGATCATCTTTCTTTCTGTTCTCATGAAATTCTGCCTTGATTTGACAGAGTTGCAAACCTCTGAAAGGGCAAATGTTTTGCCCCAACTGTTAGGACCTTCCTTCTCTGAAGATTTCATCCTCCCTCCAGATCACTAAGACAGGCCAAATAGAATAAGTATACTCCATCCCCACATGCCTTCCAACATGACAGGTCTAGAGCTAGGGTTTCAGACATGCATGAACCATACATGTCACCACCTAAACTACCTTAATCTGTGCCACCTGTGTATATGCAGTAGGAATTTTATGAGATTGCATACTATTTTTTATGCCAGATCCTTCTTTCACTCAGTACAGGGAATGCACAATGAATGAGGCAGATTACTGTAAGAAGAGAAAGGAGATTCTGTGTTGTTTGGCACTGCACTAGGTCCCTGGAGATATGGTCTCTAGTCTTGGCTGTGCAATTGAGTTCCCATGTCTCATTTGGCAAAATTATCATAACTCAAATGCACAAGAGGGGCAGTCTTATTGCTGCCATTTCCTAACTTTTGAGTGTTTTGTGGGAGGAGGGCATACATTTTGTTTTCAAAGCTAAGTAGATTAAAGTGTAAGAGTGTCTGCTGTGAAGCAGTTTCCCTAGATATAAAATGTTGCAGATATGAGCATTTTTTCATTTTTAAAAGAGTTTGCTATAATTAAAGCTTTACCATTTCTGTGGGGGTTTGGGGAATGGTAATGCTAGAAATGTAAAATAAAATTAGTTTTCCAGGCAAGAGATTGTGCTTATGTAGTTAAAGATGTGACTGTATTGCTTACCTTTTCTAAGCTGGAAACCACAAGAGTCTCCCAATTAAATCAGTTTATCTTTCACCTATTTTGCCATTATTATCTAAATAGTAGCCTAAGGCAATAGTTTGCTCTAAAAAGAAAATGTATCCTGGAGCTTATCTGGGAGGACTCTCAGACACACTGCTGGTGGTCTACAGAAGCAATCATGAAGACAGCCACCCTAGACTAAACACTCAGGATGTCTGTGGGAAGACAGATGATGTCTGTCTTAACCTGTTTCTTTATCTGTCTTCTATACACATGAATAATCAGCCAAACTATGACATTGCATCTGAAGGGGATAGCACTGCAGGATGTACCTATTAAATGTAAATATCACAAGTAGCTTAAAAAATAGTTGTCCAAATTCTCCTGGGTTCAGTGAATTAGAGTTTGCATGCTGTAAAGTATTTCTGCTTGAGTAAAATCAGTACATTGTTCTAGCTTCACTGCATTCAGATTTGCAAATAAAGTGTAATGAGACCCTGAATACTCTAGAAAGAAGAATGGTTGAGTGCCTAGAACTAGCCTGGGATGTTAGAGACTTAGCTTTAACATCTTGTTCTACAGATATGGAGATATAATACGATATAATAATCTAATAATCCAAATAATATATTATATAATAGTATAAAATATCATATACTATTATATAATATACACATATAATAATACACATATAGAGATATAATAATGGATATAATACTTGTCTACCCCACTTGGGAGCTGTGTGGGAACAGTATGTTAAACTACTGGGAGGTGTTTCAGTATTCCTGTAACTGAAGTACTGTTATAGGCACTTAACATAGCAATATCAACAGAGTGGGACTAACAGTTGTGGTTTCTTAGTACGGGTGTGTGAAACAGACTATTCAATTCAGATTCAGCCTGAATTTGGGGCAGTGATTAGATTTGTTGATTCGGATCACTGTCCTGATTCGATTTGGCCAAATCCGAATCTGATTTGATGCTGATTTGGAGAATCAGTGATTAAGCCATAGACACAGTTTTAAATATTTTTTCTACATACCTCAAGGTACCAGGCACAGCTTGTGAACGCTGCAATGGTGGGGCAGATAGAGCATCACATGGGAGTGTGGGAGGGCCCCCCGCGTGCTCCCCAGCAGACCCGGAAGTGGACTGCAAGTGCTTCTGGTTCACTTCTGGGTCTGCTAGCAAGCACGCTGGGGACCCCTCCACACTCCCATGGGATGCTACATCTGCCCCACCATAGCAGCATTCCTGAACCACCTGGTACCTTGAGATATGTAGAAAAAACATTTAAAGCTGTGTCTATGTCTGAATCATCGAATCTCTCTGAATCGATTCGGAGGCTTCCAATTCAATTTGGAGAGATTAATGGGTCTCTTGATTTGATTCAGATTCAGAGATTCATCTGCCGAATCTCTGCTGAATCGAATCAGCGACCAAAGCTTTGCACAGCCCTACTGCTTAGTAATGAGAAATTAAAACACTAAGTCTGTTAGGTGCCTCTAGCTCTCTTTAGGAGAAAGTAAGTTGACAATGGCAGAGCAGGAGTCTGGGAAAGGGACCGGGGCGCTCTCCTCTCCTGCTGCTAAGCAAGCGTGACCAGCTTAGAAAAAAGGGAATCTTTAACACTCCCCCCCAAGTAAGCAGGTTTTGTGAGAAATCACTCATTTCTTTCCAGGTGGTAAACCAGCCAGTATGAAGTTTTGTGAGATGATATTTTGTTTGTTTTGCTTTACATTGCCACCTGTCCTAAGAACTGGTATACCAACCTAATTTGACCTGCAGCCTGCATGCAGAGTACTTCCTCGGGGCTCAAGTACTATACAGTTACCTACCCCACCCCCACATACACACACGGTGAACATTTGGCTTATCCTTGTGGCATAAACAGAATGGAAGTATGTTTTAACCATAATCTCAAATCATATTACAACCCTGCAAAATCCAAACTTTAGGACAGTAGAATCCCAGCTCACATGTCATATTGGATCAGCCTGGTTGAAACCACATTGGAAGGCTGCTTTGGAATGCTGCTATGTTATAAATGGTTTCCCCAATACAGTAAAACTTACAGCATAGATGGAAGTCTTGTGCTTCCTGGGAACAAACCTGTGCAAGCTTTGTGCACTGCACCATGTCTAAACAAAATCGTTGCTTAGAGGGTTCCCAGGTTAGGTCATGAGCTTTTTGTTGTATTTCCCTGATAATTTTGTTATACAAATGAAACTACTTAACTTGATTTGCTAATATAGATCTGAGTGCTGTTTGACAAAGTCTTTTTAGTACTGTTTTACTACTACTACTACTACTACTGGGATTCTACACATAACTTTGCATGGCTGCATGCATCTGATGGGATAGTAGACAAAGAGAGAAATGACACTTCTATTCATTTTTTTTTTACAATGCAGCACAAGGACACAGTCAATGAAAATAAAAGAGAGCAGAATTGAATCAGATAAAATGAAATCTTTTTTCGGGCAATTCACAATTCACCTGTGGAACTTATAGCCACAAAATATAGTTGTGCCTAATAGTCTAAAAAGAGGATTAGATATTTTGTGTGGACTACAGGAGCCAATTATAATCAGTGTTAGGGAAACAAAAGATCAGAGGTTTGGATGCAAAATACATTTTCCTCCTATTGGAAACCTCTAATTTATCTGGGATAAATATGGCAAGTTATCTCATAGTTTCCAAATGAAAGATATGCATCTTTCATGAAGCAGCTAGTCCTGTTCAAGATATTATGGCAGCCAGATCACCATGGCAATTCTTGTACAGAAATGATGTAATTCTTACATAAAATGCCTGGCTACAATTTTGTAATTGTATGGGTTTTTTGCGTGAAGTCTTTGTTGTTGGTTTCGTTATATTAAAGCACATTTAAAAAGGGAGAAGTTTATACTGGCTAAATTGAAACCTAGGATAGAAATTAAATGTTCAAGTTACCGTATTTTGCCATAGGTTCTGGATGGCAGTAGAAGATTTGAAGAAGAGACCTATTCGTGAAGTTCCTGTTCGAGTCCAGGAAATTTGGCAGGAGTTTCTTGCTCCAGGTGCTCCCAGTGCCATCAATTTAGATTCAAAAAGCTATGACAAAACTACACAGAATGTGAAGGACCCTGGAAGATACACATTTGAAGATGCGCAGGTCAGTGTATTATCTCTGGTCGAGGGCTGGTCTTTGGGATGTACAAATGGGCATGCTTGGGAGAGAGATTATAACAGTCTCTCTTTTTAAAAAAAATAAATGCAATAAATAAAATAGGGTTGAAAATGAATTATTTGCATGAGACACTCCTGTGCTTTACTACAGGGTCAGATATGGCCTATCTAGGTGACTGTACTAGTGCAAAGCCTTGAAAGTGGCCGTCTAAGAAGGGAGGAATTTTGCTTTCCTAGTGCACCCTGTGGTGCAGAGAAGCTGATTTTATTTGGGTTCTTCTTAATTCTTTGGCTCAGCTGCTTTTAACGGGCTTTTCTTAAGCAAAGCTAGGAGTCTGTTCTCTTGATGCATTTTCATGATTTTTGTTAGCATTTGTAAGAGTCAAATTGCTCACATCATAAAGAAAACACACCCTGAAAGAGAAACAAACCTGTTTCTAAATGCCTGTTTTGTGGTTATATCTGAACCATGTCCTATGGATATTATACTTTATGCATTTCATTATAAAAGTAATATCTACTGAACAGCATGATAGACTTCTAGGAAATGATCTTCTAGGAAAG